GAACACCCACAGAGTGGGAGAAAATATTTGCCAGCTACACATCAGACAAAGGACTGATAACCAGAATATAGGGAACTTAAAAAACTAAATTCTCCCAAAACTAATGAACCAATAAAGAAATGGGCAAGTGAACTAAACAGAACTTTCTCAAAAGAAGAAATTCAAATGGCCAAAAACACATGAAAAAATGCTCACCATCTCTAGCAATAAAGGAAATGCAAATTAAAACCACACTAAGATTCCACCTCACCCCTGTTAGAATAGCCATCATTAGCAACACCACCAACAACAGGTGTTGGCGAGGATGCGGGGAAAAAGGAACCCTCTTACACTGTTGGTGGGAATGTAAACTAGTACAACCACTCTGGAAAAAAATTTGGAGGCTACTTAAAAAGCTAACATTGATCTACCATTTGATCCAGCAATACCACTCTTGGGGATATACCCAAAAGACTGTGACACAGGTTACTCCAGAGGCACCTGCACACCCATGTTTATTGCGGCACTATTCACAATAGCCAAGTTATGGAAACAGCCAAGATGCCCCACCACTGACGAATGGATTAAGAAAATGTGGTATCTATACACAATGGAATTTTATGCAGCCATGAAGAAGAACGAAATGTTATCATTCGCTGGTAAATGGATGGAATTGGAGAACATCATTCTGAGTGAGGTTAGCCTGGCCCAAAAGACCAAAAATCGTATGTTCTCCCTCATATGTGGACATTAGATCAAGGGCAAACACAACAAGGGGATTGGACTTGAGCACATGATAAAAGCGAGAGCACACAAGGGAGGTGAGGATAGGGAAGACACCTAAAAAATTAGTTAGCATTTGTTGCCCTCAACGCAGAGAAACTAAAGTAGATACCTTAAAAGCAACTGAGGCCAATAGGAGAAGGGGACCAGGAACTAGAGAAAAGGTTAGATCAAAAAGAATTAACCTAGAAGGTAACACCCACGCACAGGAAATCAATGTGAGTCAATGCCCTGTATAGCTATCCTTATCTCAACCAGCAAAAACACTTGTTCCTTCCTATTATTGCTTATACTCTCTCTACAATAAAATTAGAGATAAGGGCAAAATAGTTTCTGCTGGGTATTGAGGGGGTGGGGAGAAAGGGAGGGGGCGGAGTGGGTGGTAAGGGAGGGGGTGGGAGCTAGGGGGAGAAATGACCCAAGCCTTGTATGCACATATGAATAATAAAACAATTAAAAAAAAAGATCAGCATGAATAGTAGACATTCTTACGGAAGAATCTAAGAGGTAGAGTAGTTAATATCCACCTTGATTATACAAATTTACACTTAGAAGATTCTGATGATGTGATTTTGATATAACTCCAACTGTATGTAGAATGTATCACTGGCTCCTGTTGGAAAGCTTTCCAACAGTATCTATTTTATTTCTTCATTTCCTTCCTAAATGACTATAGAAGGCAGTAAAGAATGGGAAAATAGTTTCGAAAAGCATAGGAGAGGTCTAAACATAGTCATATCCAACGAAATGGTATTGTTACTCAGTTGTGATTAATCCCTTTGTATTACAAAACTCCATACCATCATAGAAAACAACTAAAAAATTACAAAAAATCAGAGTTGACATTTAATAGTGTACTTAGCATTTCACAACTTAATGAGGATTTACTTCATAAGGATGAAAAGCTAGGAACGGGTTGGGGGCATGCCTCAAGTGATACTGCGCTTGCATAGCAAGAGCAAAGCCCTGACTTTAAAAAAAAAAAAAGTTTCTTATAGTTTGAGAGTAAAACAAAAAACCTTTCGAGACAACATTCAAAGGTATCAAAAGGATTTTAACACTAAAATATTAATCTGGGCTCAGCATTAAGTCCTAGCAGATTCAGAATATGGTTCTTATCTTAATTTCTCTATTCTTACAATCTAGCACATAATAGATTTTCAACTGATAAAATGAGAACAAACAACTTAAGAAGTCCAATTAAGAGTAGAACAAAACTGCCACTCAGTATTTCACAGTACCATTTAGTACTAAAGTACATGGACTTTGGGTTCAAGTTGTTCTGCCATTTACATCTCTTCACCTTGTTTTTCTCATTTGTAAAAGGGATTGATCTCAGAATTAAATGAGATAATATATGTTAAAAAGGTAGGTAAATTAGTGATACAGGAAGAGACACTGCCAATTGTAGAAGAGTTTAGCTTTAACAATTTGAAATGGTTTTATAATGTTTTGCAACTCTTTATGACATGTTTCATAAATAAATAAAGATATAAATGTATTAGAAATATGTATTGCAAGTATACAATATATTATAAATGTATATTTAACAAACTAGTACAAAAAACAAATGTCTATGCACTTACTATATACTTTTTAGAAGGAGAATTTCCATTATCTGAAATTCCTATATGCTCCCCTTCCCCTCCAATCGAATTCCATTGCTTCCTTCTGAGAGATGACCATGCTCCTGAGTACCTTCACTACTTTCTTGCTTTCCTTCAGTTTACCAAATGTATCCCCAAATAATATATTTAGTTTAGCTTTGGTTTGTTTGTTTTTTTATAAGTATTTATACAAATGCTATCATGTTGTATAGAATCTTTTGTACGTTGCTTAACATGACATTTGCAAATGTAATATACACTGCATGACTGAAATGATCTCATGGCTACCAAAATGGAATTATTTTAGACTATACATGTTCAATCAGGCATGATGGCAGACACTTACAATTCCAGCACCCAGAAGTCTGAGGCAGAAGGATAATGAGTTCGAGGCCAGCCTGGGTTATTTAAAAGAAAAAAAAAAGGTGTAGCTCAAGTGGTTGAGTGCCTGCCAAGCAAGCAAACTCCAGTAGCAAAGAAAAGAAGAAAAAAAAAAAAGCAATGGGTAATAGAGGACCCAAAAGCCTAAAATATTTATTGTATGGCACTTTAAAGTCTGCCAATTCCTGTTCTTTTTTTTTTAATTTTTTTAAATTCATATGTGCATACAATGTTTGGGCATTTCTCCCCACTTCCCCCTGCCTCCTCCCTTACCCCCCCCCCTCCCTTATCCCCTCTTACCCCTGGCTACCTGGCAGAAACTATTCTGGCCTTGTCTCTAATTTTGTTGAAGAGAGAGTATAAGCAATAATAGGAAGGACCAAGGGATTTTGCTAGTTGAGATAAGGATAGCTATACAGGGAGTCTACTCACATTGATTTCCTGTACATGTGTGTTACCTTCTTAAGTTAATTCTTCTCAAACTAACCTTTTCTCTATTTCCTGGTCCCCTTCTCCTATTGGCCTCAGTTGCTTTAAAGTATCTGCTTTAGTTTCTCTGCATTGAGGGCAAGAAATGCTATCTAGTTTTTTGGGTGTCTTACCTATCCTCATACCTCCCTTGTGTGCTCTCGCTTTATCATGCAATCAAAGTCCAATCCCATTGTTGTGTTTGCCCTTGATCTAATGTCCGCATATGAGGGAGAACATACGATTTTTGGTCTTTTGGGCCAGGCTAACCTCACTCAGAATGATGTTCTCCAATTCCATCCATTTACCAGCGAATGATAACATTTCGTTCTTCTTCATGGCTGCATAAAATTCCATTGTGTATAAATACCACATTTTCTTAATCCATTTGTCAGTGGTGGGGCATCTTGGCTGTTTCCATAACTTGGCTATTGTGAATAGTGCTTCAATAAACATGGGTGTGCAGGTGCCTCTGGAGTAAGCAGTGTCACATTCTTTTGGTTATATCCCCAAGAGTGGTATTGGTGGATCATATGGTAGATCAATGTCTAGCTTTTTAAGTAGCCTCCAAATTTTTTTCCAGAGTGGTTGTACTAGTTTACATTCCCACCAGCAGTGTAAGAGGGTTCCTTTTTTCCCACATCCTCGCCAACACCTGTTGCTAGTGGTTTTGGTAATGATGGCTATTCTAACAGGGGTGAGATGGAATCTTAGTGTGGTTTTAATTTTCATTTCCTTTAGTCAATTCCTGTTCTAAAGCATTACCCTTACCAAACCTACTTTCCTTATCATCCCAGTTTATTTTATCTTCTTTTTTTGGGGGGTGGGGGAGGGGTGGTGACACTGGGGTTTGAACTCAGGGCCTTATGCTTGCTAGGCAAGTGCTCTTACAGCTTGAGCCACTTTGCCAGTCCTAGTTTATAAATAGCTGTGAAAAACAACCTTTATAACCTCTCAAAGTTTCCCAACAATTCAAAATGTCCACTTTAATATGCAGGCTAAGTTTTTTTTTTTTAAGTCCAGCAGTATATGAAATAGAGAGTAATAGGGTCCAATATATGACATGGATGAGTATTAAGTAAGAATGTAAGTAAGAATGTAACAACACAGTCTTTTTACTTTTACCCTTTTAACTAAAACTTGTTCTTTTGATTATCTCTAACACTCACTAGTTCTATTCAACACTATTGTGGAAGTACTAGCTGTTTTAATAAGGTAAGAAAAAAGAAAGGAAAAGTATTTTGGTTGGAAATGAAGTAAAATTGTCTCTATTCACAGAGGATATGATTATTTATATAGATAATCTTCAAGAATGTATATTACAATGATTAAAACCAAGAAAAGCACTCAGCAAGGTCACAGAATATCAAGTTAATATGGAGAAGTTAAAAAGAATTTTATACACTACTTGTAAATAACTATTTCATCATTTGCTTTTTAGACAAAGATGTCAAAGAGTAACAATGGGCAAAGGAAGTCTTTTCAACAAATTATGCTGGAGTAACTGTGTATTGGTGTAGAAAAACACTTATCACATAAAGATTAACTCAAGTTGGATCACAGAACAAAATGTAAAAGCTAAAATCATAAAGCATTTAGAATAAAACATGACACACTATCTTTACGACTTAGAGATAGGACAAGGCAGTAACTATGAAAGAAGAAAATTGATAAATTACACTTCATAAAAATTAAAACTTTTACTTCTCAAAAGATACTGTTAAGAAAGGAAATTGACAAGCTATAGCCTGGGAGACAACATGATCATGTTTAAACTCTCACCTTGAACTCATCTGAGATTTCTGACACAAAAGAAGATATCTGCTTCATGAGTCTGTCCACACTGCTCTCGCTTCCTGTTTTCAGCAGTGTAGTAATGGCTAGGGTAGCAATGCTTCTGTTTGAGTCCGTGATCAAGTTTTCTAAGTCCAGGTTACAGGCAGTAACAGCAGAGGGGTGCTTCATTGCCACCTTGTGGAAGGGCAAGAAAAAAAAAAAAAAAGGAAGCACACTGCTGTTGATAAAGGCCAGAACTCAAATGTTAATTAAGGTAAGTGGCAATCCAAAGGGACCAGCATAGGTTAAAAGTAATTGCTTTAAGGAGAATGTTTTTAATTGATGTGGTTTATCATTTGATAAAGGAGTAATTACTACAGTATAGCACAGTACTTCTTTTATTAGGTTCTTACAACCTTTATAGCAATATCACAATCTTTTACTATAGTTGGCCAGTATTTCCTTATGGAACATGTATATGGGTATGTCTGTTCTACTAAATGTTGGGGTCTCTGAGAATAGGATCTACTATGGTAATATTGTTCAACAAAGACTTAATATCTTATTACTTACAAAACACTTCTGTAATTAAACAAGCAAACTCAGCCAAACTGGATTACCATGGTCACTAAAACAAGCCTATCATTCTCCCACCTCCTTGCTTTTGTTGATGCTGTTCACCTCTCTGCCTATCCCACATTGGTAGAGCTCTCTGACCCACAATTCTGAAAATGTGAAAACACTCTGCAAAGCCCTGTCATTAAAACTCATTTAATAGTGAAACATGACTCAAACTAATGGAAAGCTAAGTCTTTATCCCACTTTGCAAGGACCGTCATGTTTTGTGCAGTAATGTCAGTCAGTATGTCTTAATGGTGGGATGCTGCTCTAAGTCCACTGGAGTTAGTATAAAGAGAGAACACTAAATTACCTTTCTAAAATGCACAACTATATACATTCTGAGACACAGCTGGCTGCAGGATTTAGACAAAGGAGTCTTAGAACTGTTCAATATCTGCACTGTCCAATATAATACTAGCCAACTACATGTGGCTAGGAGTACAGCAAGAGGGAGTAGAATGACTAAGAAGCTGAGTTTCTTATTTAACTTTAATTTAAATTGAATACCATATTAAACAGTGTAGCTCTTAAACATAAAGTGCTAAGAAGTCAGAAATGAGTTACACTTTTCTGCTGAACAATAGTAAAAATGGCCATGCCTAAGCTACAAATACAAATAAGGTATGACATAAGCAGACATAAAACTTTGAGGAGAAACCCAATGCTTCACACTGAGTGTTCCTTGATTAAACAATGATATAAGCCATGGTTAGCAAAGGGATGCTTACCTTATTCAAGGTCCTCACAGCTGCATATCTCAAGGCTGGCTTAGGAGAGCTACAGAAAAGTTGAAGAACTAAAAAACAACAACAACACAACTACTGAAACATGTGCATTTCATCATTCACATAGCTGAAAACAGAATGCATAATGAATTATATTCACTTACTGAATCAAAAATTCATAAGAAAAATGTATCAAAAATAGAAAAGCACTTTTTTGTTCAATTATTAAAAACTTTAAATTAATAGAAAACAAAGTGTACTTTTTTTTAAATTAGTACACCCATTAATATTTGATTTTTTTTTTAAAGTAGTACTTTGGTTTGAGCTCAGGGCTTCACACTTGAGTCATACCTCCAGTCCTTTTCTTGCTCTGGTTATTTTGGAGAAAGGGTCTAGTTTTCTGAGCGCAAGCTTGGACTGTGACTCTTCAATTTTTGATGTAGTTGGGATGACAGGCATGCACCACCATGTCCATCTTTTTTCTGATAAGATAGGGTTTCACAAACTTTTTTGCCCACTCTGGCCTGGAACCACAATCCTCCCAATCTTATCCTCCTGTGTAGCTTGGGAAGACAGGTATATGTCATTGCACCCAGCTATTCATTGAGATGAAGGTCTTGCAAACTTTTTGCCTGGGCTGGCCTTGAACCATGATCTTCCCACTCTCAGCCTCTCAAGTAACTAGGATTACAAGTGTGAGCCACCAATACCCAGCTAGTATTTGAATTTAAATGATAAAAATACTGATGGAGAGTAAATGGGCTTTCTAAATATTACAGGGAACTGAAGATATTAAACCTATTTGTTTTCTAAGTAAAATTCTTTCAAAAAAAATTTTTTGTGGTGCTGAGGATTTGAACTCAGGGTCTCACACTTGCTAGGCAGATGCTCTACCACTTGAGCCTTGCCCTCAGTCCACTTTCAAAAATCTTATGTGGGGAAATTTTTTTAAAAACGAAGTAACTGAGTAAAGAACAACTCAAACAAATAACCTACATATAAGCTATCAGAATGCAAGAGCTGTAAATACAAAACTAAGGTTCAAAACATCATTCTTAACACCTATTCTGCAGACCATCAAATTAAAAAATGTAAGAATATAAACAAAGGACAGCCATTGAATATAACTAACCTGAGACAGCAGGTGCCAACTCTCTTGCAGTACAGTTAGGAAGATGGATGATAGCAGAAGCAGCTTCATAAACAACCATTTCATGTTTATTTCGCAAACAGCTCTCAATGAAATCAAAGAGTGGACTCTCATGGCTGCCAACAAACATAAATAAGTCATTATTTAGATACCAAACAGAGAAGCAATATGAGCATCAGTTAAAAGTACAGATAGACTGAGACCCACTTCTGTACTGGTGGAGAAAGTATTGCTGAAAATTCACTTCTCAAAACAAATTGGTTTTGAGAATTTTTTTAGAACTTTAAAGTTAAACCAAAGATTTGTAACAATTGGTGAGCATTTATTTAAGAAAAACACCTGAATACTGGCAAGAATGGTTAGCTTTCTGGTGTTTTAACTTGACCTCCTTCCAGTTGCTATTCCCTTCTTTCCAGGCTGATCATAGCTTTGGAAACCAGTGGCCTCAGAACCACTAAAGCTGTGAAAGCCTACAGCCTACCAAAACTGTTTTAACATCAGAAAACAAATTCATACTCTACACCACATTAATATAAAGAAGGAAAACTGTATAATTGTGTTTTTAACAAAAAAATATAACATACAAAGAAACAGTGTAATATGGCCCAAATAAGGAAAAAAGCAGTCAATAAAAATTATCACCCAGGAAGCACAGCTATTGTATTTACTAGGCAAAAACTTTAAGTCAGTAATACAAATATGTTTAATGAGCTAAAAGGAAACCATGTCTAAAAAGAATTACAGGGAACTATAATAGCTGGGTGCCAGGAGGTCGTACCTGTAATCCTAGCTACTTGGGAGGTTAAGATCAGGAGGATCACGTTTTGAGGCTAGCCCAAGTAGGGAGTTCACAAGACCCTATCTCAACTAATAGCTGGGTACAGTGACTTACACCTGTCACCCCAAACTATTCAGGAGGCTGTGATTGGGAGGACTGCAGTTCAAGGCCAGCCTGGGCAAAAAAGCTTTGTGAAACCCCATCTCAACAGAAAAAGCTGGCTGTGGTGATGTGTGCCAGTCATCTCAGATACTAAGGGAAGAGTAGAATAGGAAGACTGCACTCCAGGCTAGCCTGGGCAAAAAGCGAGACACTATCTCCAAAATAACCAGAGCAAAAAAGAGCTAGAGATGTGACTCAAGTAGTAGAGTGCCTGCCTTACAAGCATGAAGTCCTGAGTTCAAACTCCAGTACCACCAAAAAACCAACCAAACAAAAAAGAATTAAAGGGTAACATAACAACGATGCCTCACCAAATAGAGATTATCAATAAAGAAATATAAACAATGTTTTAAAGGAACCAAGTAAGAATTCTGGATTTGAAAAATACAATAACCCAAATGAAAAATTAGCCAGGGAGGTTCAATTGCAGATTTGCACTGCATCTGCACTGACAGATGGAAGAGCCAGAAAACTTGAAGATAGGTCAAGATAAACCAGCCAAGGGAAATAAAGAAAAATAAAAAATGGGAAAAAAATGAACAGACATTTGAAGAGCTGTGTAACATGAACCAGGGCACGCACCAACTTTCCTTTAAGAGGAATCCTCAAAGGAAAGGAGAGACATATTCCTAGATAAGCAAAGAATGAATTCATTGCTAACGGACTTGCTCTACAAAAAATATTGTAAGAATAATTTAGACTGAAAGTCCGACTCCAAACAGTGATACTGAGAGGGATAAAGAACACCAGAAATGTAAATACGTGGATGCATATAAAATATTCTAGACATATTTTTATCATTTCTTAATTACTTTAAAGGACAAAATTATATGAAGAAATCATGATAACATTTTCCTAGTGGATTTATAACATATGGATGTTACATACACAACAATAACAGCAAACAGGAGGGAAAAGGGAATGGAACTTTATTAAAACAAACATTCAATACTTTACTGGAATTAATATTAATCTGAAGTAAATTCTGATAAACTAAAGTGTCTATTATAATCTCTACAGCAACAACTAAAACTATAAGGTTAAAATACTGCCAGAAAATGATACACTAAAAATATTTAGCTAAAACAAAGAAAGCAATCAAAGAGGAAGGATGAGAGAAGTAACATTTTAAGAGACTGACAGAGAACAAACAGCAAATGCCAAGCATATATCCAACAATATCAGTAATTATATTAAATGTAAATGGTCTAAACACCTCACCCAAAACATAAAGCCTGTCAGACACTTTTTAAAAAGCAAAATCAATTGATACAAGAGATACACTTTAGATTCAAAGTTAGAAGTAGGATGAAAGTAAAAAGATGGAAAAATATGCCATGTAGATAGTAACCATTAAGAGATCAGCAATGACTATATTAATAATAGACAAATAGAATTTAAGACAAAATACTACGACACAGAGAGACATTTCACAATGATAAAGGGATGAATACATCAGGGAGGGGTAACAATGATAAACACACACATTCAGGAGCAGAACGTCAAAATAACATAAAAAAACAGACAAAAAGAAAGAAGAAATAGATAAGTTGGAGTTGCCTATATCCATGCAATAATTGATAGAACAATTAGACAGAAAATCATCGAGGATATAGAAGATTTAAACAACACAATCAACCAAATCAACCTGATATATAAAATGGGAGATGTAATGACTTATTGCAAAATATACATCCTTTTCATGTGTATTTGGAGCATTTCCAAGGATTGATGCCAGGTCATAAAACAACTGTCAGTACACTTAGAGGGATAGAAACCATACAAAGAATCTCAAACCACATCTGAATTAAATTAAAAATCAACAACAGAAGTCAGGAAAAACCTCAAATATTTGGAAATTAAACACCACACTTCTAAATAACCAAGAAGGGGACCGGTGGAGTGGCTCAAGTGGTAGAGCGCCTGCCTGGCAAGTGTGAGTTCAAACCCAAGTGTACAAAACAAAGGGGGGGGTCTAAATAACCAAAAAGAAATCAAATTGGAGGGAGAGAGGCAAGGGAGGGGAGGGAAGGAAGGAGAGAGTAGGCTTCACATTTACTTTACCTTGCTTTTTTTATGAAGCAGTTTTTAAGCACATGGATACATAATCAATTACTGATTAAATGTTTTTTATAATATCCTAGAACTAAACTTTTTGTCCAATCTTTTCTTGGCTAGATATTGAACAACTCTCAAAATTTTGATATTATAAATAATACTGGGATGGATATGTTTCCTTGTGCACATGACAAGTATCCCTCTGTGGCAGACTCTTGAAGATAAACTCTTGCCCCTGTTGATAACCACAGGCACTATTGGTGTTTTTATTTTTCATAGACACAGCAAGACTACCCTCCCCAGCACTGGCTCCATCTCAACAATGTAGCGTGAGAGTGCTTACTTTCTAGTCAACACTGACACTACAAAATATTTAAAAGGTTTCTAATCTGATAGGTGAAAGTATGGTATGTTGTTTTAGTTTGCATTTCTCTAATCAAAAGTGAGGTGGTACTTCTTTAGTTTTTTTTTTTTTCCCAAGTCTTATCTTTGTTTTTGCAAATGCATTTCTCCTCTGAAGCTATCTGTAATAATCTTCATCCAATTTTCTATTAGGTTGTCTTTTCTCCTCATTTGGGGGGCAGTACTAGGGTTTGAACTCAGGGTTTTTGAAAGGGCCTTCAGCCCTTTTTGCACTAGTCATTTTTCAAATAGGGTCTGGGATCGCATGTTTTTGCCCAGACCAACCTGGACTGCAATCTTCCTATTTACAACTCCAAAGTAGCTTGGATGACAGGAGAGCACCACCATGCCCAGTTTATTGGCTGAGATGGGGTCTCACTAGCTTTTTTTGCCTGGGCTGGCATCAAAACACAATCCTCCTGATCTCTGCCTCCCAAGTAGCAGGGATTAGACCTGGAAAATTTTTTAATTCTAAAAGATATTAAAATATCTTAAAATTAAATTTTTTTTTGTTGTGGTACAACTTATCAATATTTTTCATTATTTTTGCATCCCAAAAGGTCGTGAAAAAGCTGGGCACAGTGGCTCAGGGCTGTAACTCCAGTTATGTGGAAGACAGAGATCTTGGTTTGAGACCAGCCTGGACAAAGGTTAATGAGATCCCATTTCGACCTCACCTGTGGTGGAGTGTGCCTGTCTTTCCAGTTACAACGGAAATACAATCACAGTCCAGGCTGGCCCTAGGCAAAAACACAAGACCCTATCTAAAAAATCACCTAAAGCAAAAGGACAAGGAGGTGTGGCTCAAGTGACAGAACAGTTGTCTACCAAGTGCAAGGCCCTGAGTTCAGACAGATCACAGTGCCACCACCAAAACAACATCATCAAAAAGGTTGGGAAGTTTTTTAGTTGGTTTTTAAAAAATTTGTTTGTTGATTGTTTGGTTCTATATTTAGTTAGACCCCCTTTACTTCACCTGTAATGTAAGGATCTAAGCTTCTCAAGGTGCCACAATGCTAGAAATGATATGAACGATTAAAATTAAATGACATTAACAGATTAAAGAATACAATCATGTCCATAACTGCAAGAAAAGTATTTGACAAAATTAAAAACTACTCATCACAAAAATTCTGTAAACTAGAAAAAAAAGAACTTCCTTAATTTAATGAATGATTTCCTTTCCTTTCCCTTCCCCCTTCCCTTCCCTCTTTTCCTTTCCTTCCTTCCTCCCTCCCTCCTTCCTTCCCTTCCTTCTTTTCTTCTTTCCTTTCTTCCCTTTTTGTGAGATGGGATCTCACTATGTAGCCCAGGCTGGTTTTGATCTCACTGTGTAGCTCAAGCTGGCCTCAAAACCCCTGATCCTCTTGCTTCCACCTCCTGAATGCTGGGATTAGAAGCATGTGCCCAGCATACAGGATATATTCTTTAAAGAAAAAAACAGGTGAAAACCAAAAACTATTGCTTTTGAGACAAAAATGAGATATGAGTACCACTACTATTTAATATTATACTGGAGGTCCTAGCCAATACAATAAAAGTGGGGGGGAAATATAGGAGAAACAAACCAAAAATTGTCACTTTAAAAATGTCATCTATGAAAATATACAGTCATGATGGACTGCATTTACGACGGGGGACACAGACATCTGGGTTTGTGGAGTACACTCTGCTGTTCACAGGACAAAATCACTTAATGACACATTTCTTAGACTG